AGGAGAATATCAACTTAGCAATAAATTCGCATGGCGATAATCTCGGAAGTCGCTGATGTATAGCGCTGTCAAGCGCGCTGGTATTCTGCAAAAGAAAATATGTACAAACAAGGTCGCGCAGTAGACAATGCGTATTTGGCTGAAAACAAAACTCACCTGAGTTGATCATGAACTTACCAGTAGGGAGAAAGGCGTGAGAAGGTATCCTAATCTCGAGCTTCTTGCAGCCGGTAAAATTTCGCAGTAGAAACCGTCCGCCACAGCAGACTTTCCGTATCTGCAAGAGGGAGGATGTAAGAACAGAAATTGACACACATATTTGAGTCGTGTTTATGACGCAGTGAAGGAGAGGTAGGAGCAGGAAGAGCACCGCAGAAGCTGATCGAGTGTATGAAACGGTAGACGGAAACCGTGAGATGTGAAAATGAACGGGTGTTGAGCTGTGGATGAAGTTTGAAGGAGCGGGAGAGGAGCATCACACACCAAAAGCCCTCGTTTTCGCTTGGGCGAAAATTGGACGAAATGGAGTGATTATTCAAACCTGGTGAGGTCTGAAGTTTTCGCTTCTGTGGGTTCACAAGTACCTTGACGAAACTAGCGAGATGGAAACCCCATAATGTCTTGGTTTCTGTTCGCCACACTAATCCAAACCACATCAGCGCTGCCACATCTGATTTTGACAGCGCACCTTCAAAAGTGACGCTGGTTTCTGACGCGTCAGCAACACCTTATCCAATGTCGCTGTAGTCAGTCCTGTTATAACGCCACTAAATTTCCGTCGATGCGAATTCAGACTCAGATTCATGCAAGTTGGACACCACTGTACACCCAACACAACCGAAGTAATTCGCTGTACCAGACCAATTTGGCACGTGCGGGGCGGGTTGTATGCGAACAGCTAGGGGCTACGGGGACACAATGTGGAAGGGGTTGGATACAATGTGCAAGGGCGAAGACAGGTATGCAATGTGAGTGCAATGTTTGAGCATTGAACATCCTTGCCTACCACTGTATTTTGAGTGTTTGTACATTGCTTCGGCAATCGCCGCCGGGCATGGGTGGGGCAAAGCGGGTTTCGTGCATGGTTGTTGTGGCCCCACATTTTGTAGAGATCTCGTGCTTTTATCTCGCGCTTCTATCTCGCCCTCTCCGCTATCTCCTCCTCGCGTCGCTCGCTCGTACCATCGCATTGACCGCTGTCGCAGTGGCTACCGGTGCACTGAGCACTAACAAACGCTCCTCTGTCGCGCGGCGCCGCGCCTCGGCTGCGCAGGTACGGAAACACGTACTGGGTGCGCTACGCCGTGGGAGTTACGCAGGTCGGTAATGCCGTCTTCCCCACCAAGGCCACAGTGAACGCCGGCCAATACGGCGCCAATGGCGCGGTGCAGCTCGAGCTCCCCACCAACTGGCTGAACGGAACCGTCACCCCGCAGCCCGCCACTCTACAAAATGTGGGGCCACAACAACCATGCACGAAACCCGCTTTGCCCCACCCATGCCCGGCGGCGATTGCCGAAGCAATGTACAAACACTCAAAATACAGTGGTAGGCAAGGATGTTCAATGCTCAAACATTGCACTCACATTGCATACCTGTCTTCGCCCTTGCACATTGTATCCAACCCCTTCCACATTGTGTCCCCGTAGCCCCTAGCTGTTCGCATACAACCCGCCCCGCACGTGCCAAATTGGTCTGGTACAGCGAATTACTTCGGTTGTGTTGGGTGTACAGTGGTGTCCAACTTGCATGAATCTGAGTCTGAATTCGCATCGACGGAAATTTAGTGGCGTTATAACAGGACTGACTACAGCGACATTGGATAAGGTGTTGCTGACGCGTCAGAAACCAGCGTCACTTTTGAAGGTGCGCTGTCAAAATCAGATGTGGCAGCGCTGATGTGGTTTGGATTAGTGTGGCGAACAGAAACCAAGACATTATAGGGTTTCCATCTCGCTAGTTTCGTCAAGGTACTTGTGAACCCACAGAAGCGAAAACTTCAGACCTCACCAGGTTTGAATAATCACTCCATTTCGTCCAATTTTCGCCCAAGCGAAAACGAGGGCTTTTGGTGTGTGATGCTCCTCTCCCGCTCCTTCAAACTTCATCCACAGCTCAACACCCGTTCATTTTCACATCTCACGGTTTCCGTCTACCGTTTCATACACTCGATCAGCTTCTGCGGTGCTCTTCCTGCTCCTACCTCTCCTTCACTGCGTCATAAACACGACTCAAATATGTGTGTCAATTTCTGTTCTTACATCCTCCCTCTTGCAGATACGGAAAGTCTGCTGTGGCGGACGGTTTCTACTGCGAAATTTTACCGGCTGCAAGAAGCTCGAGATTAGGATACCTTCTCACGCCTTTCTCCCTACTGGTAAGTTCATGATCAACTCAGGTGAGTTTTGTTTTCAGCCAAATACGCATTGTCTACTGCGCGACCTTGTTTGTACATATTTTCTTTTGCAGAATACCAGCGCGCTTGACAGCGCTATACATCAGCGACTTCCGAGATTATCGCCATGCGAATTTATTGCTAAGTTGATATTCTCCTGAAATTTTATCACCGAGCTCGGTTCCTAGAGGAGTTTCATGGGATGCTCTTCCGAGCATGTCAATGGCATCCATGATCGATAAATTCATGTGTGGTGTTTTATTGTTTGGACATGTCCTCTCTCTGTGTTCTAACTCTGGTGTTCTGCAGAGCCCTCGTTGCGCCCGGAATAAGCTGTAACCGGTTGTTCATGCATTTTATGTACCTGTGTGTGGATCATCATGAACGCGGGTATATAAATAGGATGTTAGGTCTTGTAGCTATTGATTAGGCGGATCGGGTATTGTGACCATTGCTGTAAGTTTGAGTTGAATTGTAACTTTGGGATGACTAATTTCCAGCAGAGAATTCATTTCATAAGTGGCAAGAAGTTGCTATTTGCCTGAAACCTAGTGTGTGAACTGCGTTTTGTATTCTGCACTTTCCAATTGTTTGTATTCGATCATACTGAGATCCGTGTACTGTGATGATTGGGGGGTTAAAAAGTTCCATTATATGACGATTTTCCAGTTGCTTTAGTGAGGATGAGCAATGTTGGGTGTATGCTGGTGCACTCCTTGCCGAGCCTACTCAAGATTGCTCAGGCAAACGTTTCAATGATTCCTCTAACAAACCTGCACTGTTGAGCATTCATCATGATAAACCACAAGCATTGATGGCAGGGGAAAACCTCAAACAATCCCCGAAGAATCATTTTGCATTCTTTTTCCTTCCCAGATTTTGTAGAGATAGAAGCGCGAGATAAAAGAGCGAGATAAAAGCGCGAGATAAAAGCGCGAGATAAAGGCGAGAGATAAAAGCGCGAGACAGAAGCACGAGATAGAAGCACGAGATAGAAGGACGAGATAGAAGCACTCACTTGTAAAGCCCCAGAGCCAGGCTGCCCCACGACTTCAGATCGCCCTTGCTGCCCACGATTTCAGCACCATTCAACGACGTCGCCACGCGACCTGCGAAGAGCAATCAACATGATTCGGAACAAGACGAACGACTCGTGACAGGAAGAAGAAAGGAGAGAAATAAAGAGGCGCACAGCAAGATGCCAGCGGCATTCGCGGAAATCGTGTTGAGGCGAGGAAAGACGGCGTACCTATCCACTTGGCGCTCGCGCTAGAGGCGCAAACCAAAAGGACGAGAAGCACAAGCGCGAGAAACGGCTTGAAGGCCATGGCGTAGACGGACAGCAGATTGGGAAATGTAAATGGGATGATATAAATAAAGAAATTGGGTTCCCCAAGAACTACGGTATGACGAGAGGGTCTTAGTAGTGGGGAGTTTTTGAAAGAGCCGCCCTCACTCCTCTCCACCACACCTCCCCCCCCCCCCCCCCCCCCCCCCCCAATATCTGTTTGCTTGCACGTCAACGGACCGCAATGGTAATTTTGCGGCGGCTCGAGACCGGTGACCAATCACAAGAGCAGAAAAATGGGGCAACATTGAGCGTTTTGCTCCCATTTGCAGATTCGCGGTTCGTTTTATTATTGTCACATGGCATGCCTTCGATCGCGTGAACCGCGATCTGTTTTATTGTTATCACAAAATTCAAGAGAATTTCAGTTAAGTTTTGTACTGGGCTGCCCACGGGCAAAAATAAACCCATTCGGGCCTGGCATACGTTAGGGAGGCATCAACCCTAAACACCTTGCCTCTAGGTGTTCAGGGTTGATGCATCCCTAACGCATGCCATACCTATAAGGGCTTTATTTTTGCCCGCGGGTAGTGGAGTACAGAACTTAGCTAAATTTCTCTTGAAGTTTATGATAACAATAAAACAGATCGCGGTTCACGCGATCATAGGCTCGCCACGTGGCAAAAATAAATCAACCGTGTTTCCGCGGAATTGAGCAAAATTCTTGGCAACATTCCACTATCTCGACTCACAACGATGCATGGCTCGCGTACGTTGCAAATGAAAACTGCAAAACAAAGCCATGCTTATGTATAAAAACGGTACATACCGTAATCTCCAAAATAAGGAGACAAGGTGGTGACATTTTATCTCCAGGTGGTTTCCAATTTCTAGGTACAAATCGGTATGCACAGAAGACATTACACTCATAGGTACCGAGAAAAAAGTTTTTTATTGCCATCCCTACATCATGCATGCCAGCCAGTTTCCCCACTAGGCTAAATTTGATCTACAGCATGCAAACAGCAATGTCACCAACCTCACTCCTGAAGAAGCAAACTGTTGCCAAACAAGCGAAGAAGCCTTACCGTATTTCCATATGAAATTACGACCAAACTCAACCACACCTCATAACTGCACCTGCTGCTGCACTCACACACAGCTTGAATAATTAAATCAGACACTCACACTCACTCTACAGTTCACATTCACTCTCCCATAAACCCACTAGGGACCACCACCACTCCACAACCCCCCTGCACAGAAGCCATCATGATGACTCCCCGTCACGTTGCCACTTCAGCGTAAGCAGAGCTGCTAGCGGGAGCGATGAAACTGGCCGCGAATGGCACCGTCCGGGTGGGAGGGCGCCGTCACAAGCGCATAGTACTGCCGCGGCGCTGCGATAATCGCCTTCATTGTCACCTCGAGAGACTTTCCATTCGCAGCCTTGATCTTCGCGACGTCATGCCACACGCCCGCAATCACGTAGGTGTACAGCTTGGGGCGGTTGGGGCGCTGGTAGTTGCTGGTCATGTTGACCCATTTGTTGTCGGAGAACTCGATCTGAACAGGGCCCGTGGTGAAGCGCGTGCCGTAATGCACGGTGGCTTTCTTGGGAATTTCTGGGCGGTCGAGCCGCCAGACGTGCACAGAGTAGCGGATGTTGTAGGTCTCGCCGTACCTGCATGACGGCGTGACGGGGGAGCGACGCATCTTTAGCAGGAGCAGAGAGGATGGCAGCACTGCTGACGCCAACGGGGCTAGAATTCAGGATGATGATGTGTGGAACAAGTGAACGAATGGAACGAATGGCAGGAAGCCAGCCACACTGGCATGCTTGCACGCGCCGTGTGCTGACGAAAGGCGAAAGCCCACGCGATAGCTGCACGAGCGGCGAGCGATGCGAGAGGACCCGTCTAGGACTCCGTCGGTCGTGTCAGAATTGATGCGACCAAGTCGCGGGGACTTACTTGAAAAGGGCCAGGGCGACGGTGCCCGTGGAGTTATAGTCGCCCCTGCTGCCCGTGACCTGCGGGGCTCGCATTGCTGACGTCACTTTACCTGAAACGGGCCACATTCAGAGCATCAGAAAAATAAGAAGTAGATGAAAAAAATCAGGATGAGTCCGAAGGGCATTCGCTTGGAAACGGGACGGGGGAGAAAGGATGCTTACCGACACGCCGGCCGAGGTACTGCGCGTCGCACGCACACGCCGCTAGGGCAAGCAGCACAACGGCCAGAAGCGGCCTGAACGCCGCCATGGCTCAGAGAGGCTCGGAGCAAGGAGACGCGTCGGACGGGTATGCGGGGTTCACCGAGGGTTGCGAAGCTGTGGCTGTTGAATGAGGTGACGGTTTGACGCGAGAATAAATAATTTGAGCGGCCTCATGGTTCAAGAACCGTTCCCGGTGAACGTTCACTGTGAACCTTCAGAACGAGACTTGTGGTGGAGATGGGGTCTCTATCGGTCACGTTTCGGGGCTTGTTTGATTGGCGGATGGTGCTTCTAGATAAGAAGGAATCCATCGTGGCACCACAACGGACCGCAACGCTGGATGTGCGTGACGGTGCTCGAGCGCTGAAGAAATAAGACCACATACTGGAGGAGAAAGAAGGAAGGGGGGGGTGGGGGGGGTACTCATGTAATGACAAATTGTACCACCGTGACTGAGGCTCTGGAAAGCAAAGTTAGCGAAACCAGGAAATACAGTTACCCAATCGTCGCGCATCATCTCACCAATTTTGTTTTGCTGCTGTGCACCGGGGAGGGGGGAGGTGGGGGAGACTACTGCGACTGTTCTGGGTGGAATGAACTCCGACACTTCACCGCTGCGTTACCAACTTCCTCACAACGAATACGCATCCACACCCTACATTGTCACTTTGTTGTTGGGTATACTGGAGCCGTATAATAAAACAAGAAACACTTGCAATCAAGCAGAAATGCATGCATGAACTGTTAGTGCAAATAAATGTGCATGCAGGAGGCCACAAACATCCGCAATGTAAACAACAGCCACAACCACATGACCGGCAACAATTTACCCATTGCATCTGCGATATTATGACACGATCCAATGAGAAACGTTGTGAAGCGAAGCAAGCAGCACCTGGTCACCTTTCATGCTTCACAAGATAGCTCAATGCCGCAATCACATGATGTGTGGTGGGTAAGGCACTTCCAATAGGGGCTAGATTCCAGGGCAAGCTCTGAGTGGAGGCAAAGAGCCATGGAGAAAGCATCGAAGTCTTCAAAGCGAGAAACGAGCAAAGCTTCCCAGTCCACCTGAATGGAAGTGAAAGCATGGAGGTTTGAATGAACAACACACAATCAATCGTATGGTGACTAATCGAATTTCCAAAGAAAGGCCCGTCATGGATACCGTAACTCTAAACTCCGGAGTCACGAATGTGATTTTCCTGCCCCTCTAATTTCACTCAATCACTGGGCTGGTTGATTCCAAGGCAAGCTTTGCTGGAAGCAGTGCCACGTGCCAACCTAGGTCGGAGAAAAAGAAACGCACAAACCAGACTCAAGTGCAACTACGCCTCCAAGACATCTCAGCCTACCTGCACCCCATGGGGGTTGAGCATTGTGGTTTGCATGTCAGCAGCCATGGAGAGGCCACTTTTGAGGCGCTTAGAGTATTAGCACTTCTCAGCCTACCTGCAGGCTGCAACCCATGTGGGATGAGCGCAGTGGTTTGCATGCCAGCAGCCATGGAGAGGCCATTCTTGAGGCGCTTCAAAAATATCACGTCTCAGCCTACCTGCACCCCATGGGGGATGAGCGCAGTGGTTTGCATGCCAGCAGCCATGGGGAGGCCGAGGATGGAAACAAGCCCCACCATGGCGGTTCATGTTGCTAGCAGACCAGTGGTCCTCAAAGTACCGCTTCTTCTTCTGGGCCTCCGTGTGCTTGAACTAGTGTTTTGAAAAGTCTCAAAACACACTAATTCAAACACCCGGCGGTCCTCAAAGTACTCCTTCTTCTGGGCCTCACTCAAAGTCCCGCCCCACTCGCACCGAGCACCCGCGGTTCGCCACGCCCTATAGACAAAGGGAAAACGGGACAAAATAAGTATGAGCAAGACGAACGGGCCCGATGGGAGAGGGAGGGGCTGTGGGACGGAGATGGGGAGAGAGTGAGGGATGAGGAATGGAAGGAGCGAGAGAACGGAAGACGCGGGAGAGAGGATTGAAGGAGCAAAAAGTGACAGTCAATATATACCTGCCACACAGCAAAAGAGTGAGGTCCTAACCAAACAGAACCACGAATGCGATTCGTGTGCGAGCGAATCACATTCACATGTATTCACTCCGATTCTCATTCACAACATGCACGCACCAGTGAGCTTCCGGTCGAGATTGTGAAAGGCGCTTGCACTGGCGCGGCTTGCTCTTCGAGTGAGCAGCCGGACCAGCCAGATCAACTGGGTGTTTTGAGAGCATTTGCATTTGCAGCAAGAATTCACCACATCGAGAATTCGCCACATCGAGAATTCGCCACATCGAGAATGGCCACATGGACCCCTCAGCGGGTTGCACGCGGTGGGTGCATGACGGCGCTGGCGCGGCGCGAGAGGTAGCGGCGCGTGACGGAGATGGGGAGAGAGTGAGGGTTGAGGAATGGAAGGAGCAGGAGAATGGAAGACGCGAGAGAGAGGATTGAAGAAGGACAAAGTGCCAGTGAATGTATACCTGCCACACAGCAAAAGAGTGAGGCCCAAACCAAACAGAACCAGAAATGCGATACGTGTGCGAGCCAGTCATATTCACAGGTACTCACTCTAATTTTCATTCACAGCATGCACGCACCAGTGAGCTTCCGGTCGAGCGTGTGAAAGGCGAACACTGGCGCGGCTTGCTCTTTGAGTGAACAGCCGGACCAGCCGCATCAACCGGGTGTTGTGAGAGCATTTGCATTTGCAGCGAGAATTCGCCACATCGAGAATTGGCCACGTCGACCCCTCAGATACTCATTCTGATTCTCATTCAGCGCGTTGCACGCGGTGGGTGCACGACGACACTGGAGTGGCGCGAGAGGTAGCGGCACGTGACGGGCGGCAGGGAGGTGAGAGAAGCGTTATGCGCATCCGCGATAAGAACAGGGAGAAAGACAAGCATAGGAATGGAGACGACGAATCAGAGAACAGGGGGGATGTGGGGGAAAGAGGGGGATGAGCGTTTGTAGCTTTTGCGAGAGATTCTGTGATTGCAGGGAGGAGACCTTGAATCAATTGTTTCCTCACTCTTTAGCAGTATGTGTGCAATGAGAACAATCCACGGGCCCACAGATTTGCACAGACGGGAGCGGGGAAACGCATGGGGAATATTGCAGAAGTAGTGGGGGAAAGGGGGAAAGGAAAAAGAAAGGGAAGGGAGGAGGAAGGAGGTGGGGAGGAGAGGGAAGGAACTGAAGGCGTGGTGTTTCTAACGTGGAAACATTGTACCATGGTACACTTGGTACCCTAAAACACGTGCTTCTGATGTTTAGCATTCCGTGTGCCAGTGGTATGTTTGAGTGAACTGCATATGCACACGAGAGGAAGTGGGGCGGAGTGGGCGATAAAGGAGGTTCAGCGCTGAATAGAGGGAGGATTTTGGGGTGGGGGATGGAAAGAGTCACACTATGTAACGCATCGCCCTCCTACCCTACGAGCGTTTCCTAGCTAAAGCACTACCTAAGCAAGGTATCGACTTACGGGAAGAAGAGGATGGAGGAGATGAGTGGTGATTGGTCCACATTTGTGGACAACCACCCACTAAAAAGACAAGCATGGTTGGAATCCAACCCAACCCCACATTGGTTGGAATTCCAACCAATGACAATTGAACATTGTTGTTACAAGTTACAACATGTAACATAACCATTCTTATCACAATTCTATTGCTCTCATTGGTTGCTAATCCAACCATTGTGCCACCTAAGCAAGCTCACCCCAAGGAGCTCCTTGCCCTTGTTGCCATGGAAGAAGTGGAGCTCCCCAAGGAGGTCTAGGGGGGGGATTGAGCTCACCAAGCTCATTCTCAACTCCCAACTTCCAATTAACCAAATGGAAATGGGATTTTACTTCTAAGTCCAAGACTTTTCCCTCACAAGTGCTCCAAGCATCTACTATCTTCTTGGTGAAGCTACATTTTTCTCTTCCAAGGTTTCACCTGCCAAGTCTCCAAGACTTGAGGCTACTATTAGGACTAGTCCCTGTTATGTGTGTGTGTTCTTGGCGTTTTATAAGCCTACTATTGACCCTTTTTGTGGGCATTCTTTTATAAGCCCGGGTCTTTATTGTGTTTTAAAGGGCGTTTTCATATAAGCCCGTGTTACATTTTGGTATTCAGAGCTTTGGTTATCCTTAGCCCTGTGTGGCTAACTAGATTTTTTTTTTTTTTTTTTAGGAGTTCCTAGATCTTAGATCTAGAAAAGTCTCAAGCTCTTTCTTTAAGAAGAGTTGAGAAACTCCCAAGATCAAAAAGTCTTCTTCAAGGATTTCCAATCTATAAAAGCTCTTTGAGCTGTAAGAGAATTTATTTCTCTGCCCACCTTTCTTGGTGGAAGACTCATTGCTATTTTTATAATGGCAGAGTGTTACAGATGTAAGAGATTTGTTAAAAGATTCCTCTAAATTTGCTCTTTGAGCAATTTGGGGAACTCTCTCTATTTCCTTATTGGAATAGAAGACTTATTAACAACTCTTTCTCTGTACCTTTCTCTTTGTAAGAATATTGATCTATATAAAAGATTTCTGGAAATTTTCAGAATCTCTTGCCTATCACCTTGAGTGATAGAGGACCCTTACTAAGATCATATTTCTTAACAAAGAAGAACCACTCTTTTTAAGCTCCATCTTAACAACCCCTCTATGGCTACTCCTCGTGAGGAACCACCAAAGGAGGATGTCCCTATGACCTCAGTTGATGAACTGGAAGACTTTCCAGATCTTGACCTTAATGCTGAGGACGTCATAGGGGACCTTCCTGAGGAAGAGGAAGAAGCCCTGGGAAACCAGGAAGAGAATGGAGAACAGGAAGGGCTTGATGATG